GAACGAAGATTTGGATGTTGATCCAATATTTCTCTCTCAATCATGTGTGGAACAACTTCAGAACAAGTTACAGAAGACTTTTCACAAGAACATCCATTTTCAGAGCACATACGCTGGAACTCCGACCATTTTTGTTGTTCAGGACTAGCAATCAAAGACACAGACAATCCAGAAGAGATTTCAGCAGATTCAACAATTGGACTTAAATACAAAAAAACGAGGAATACACAAAACACTTTAAATACCCGCATGACTCTAGTACTTTCCAAATCTCTATTCTACAATTAATACATATTCCAATAAATATTATTCAAGTACAGGAGTTGTGCTAATTTTTCAGAAAATATTCCTTTCCAATAAAGCACATGACAACTACCCATCGTTACTGGACTTATTGATCAGGTCGCCGTTCAATGTCTCGAAATGACCAAAAAAATCCAGACCTTTAGGTGGCACTAAAAGAATAAAATTACAACAAAAAATTTAAAATAAAAGCGACGTAAGCTGCGTATATGCACATCGGTTTTGATGATTAAAGAACATCAGCATTCCTAACGTCATGGAGAAACTGCGAATTCCAGACAAGACACTACACAGAAAACTAACCAACTTATACATGCATACCGCACAGGCATTGGATAAAAATGTGCATTAAAATATAGGAACAAGAAAAATAGCAGAAAAAAAAAAAATGAAAGCTCCAGTCGATCTTTGTGCCAGTAATTTTTTTAAAGTTGCTTTTGCAACACCCACCATTAAGCACCCGAGCCATAAAACCGCAAACCAACGCGTAGCAGCACACCCTTGAAACAAACGACTTACTCTTTATTCCCCTAGAATCTTCTAATCTTGTGACGAATTTGACCGCATCTAAATTTAACAGCTCCAAAGACCCAAATTGAACCCATTTCAAAAAAACTGCTTTAAACTCCCGTAACACGTGCCTACCCAAAACCTGACCATGCTTTACACCTTGAACTCCTTCTCAAAGACCCTACTCTATGTCCACGCCACTTCAATATGCATAACGCATAGCCCTTCCGTCCCATTTCCCAAACCACAGTTCTCAATGCACACGACCCCACACCACCCCGACGAAATCACATTGCAATACATGCACAAATCCCAGAAGATTCCTGAGAACACATACAAGCTGCACGCAACAAAACCTAATACCGCTACCCATAAAAACAGTACAACTCCCTACCAGAAAGACTTCTCAACCACACTATTCAAAAAATGAAGGAACTGAAGGTTTGACAAGCACCCCACTGCTGAAACTCGGGTACTTAAAGTCCAAAGTCGCAATCTGTAGGAAACAAAACTGTAACGGTGACACTAATCTTAACAACCTCAATAATTTCTAACAAAATACAGCACACTGGTCAACACTTAAAAATGAAGTCTGCTTAACGATACACTCTCAGCACCTTTATTAAATATCTTGACAACAAAAATAACACGATATCGCTTAATGGAAGTAACACAGAACAATAATGTAAAAGAAAGGAAGCATAATAAGTCGTTTGTCTTCTCTGCAACTTCAGCGAGCTAATTTTCAAGCCGTTGAGGCATTGGAACTTCTAGCAAACGCAAGTTTGAAGACATAAGGGTACTTGGAAGCTGAAAAATCGAAGCAAAAATAATGAGAATGTAACGGTTGAAAAAAAAAACAGCCTTTATTTTACGTGTTGTGCACATGATTATATGAATTGTGGATACAACTATACACCTTTTCAGTAAAAAAAGTAATATTCACGCACATGGACTAGCAATCGGGGTGTGGTTGACTAACATAACTGCTTCAGCTGCTGTTTTCACTGAATCAAACAAGCACACACCGCTGGAACCTCTTGATTCTACTCTGG